CAGGACCTTTGCACTGGCACAGACAAGGTTCCTCCATTTAAGAAGTGACTCCCAGGGTGAGGATACACCCAGCAAGGAGACAGGTCTCTGCAGGCTGTTACTGAGTTGGAAAATCAAAATCTTCAGTGTCACCTCCTGGCTTGTGATTTATCCCTGGTGCAGGATCAGGAAAACCGCTGATGGCTTTTCAAAACACTGCCTTGTGACCAGAGGAATGATACGAAGAAAGAAAGGAGAAACACCAGGGAAAGAAATGTGTGATGTGAGTGTAAGGGAATGACCCCAGCTTCCCAGAGATGTTTTTCCCATTCCTGTGCTCATCTAACCTCTCGCTCTGATTGTCCAGATGGACACGTGGCCCCAGCTGGAACAAAGTGGCCCACATCTACCTTAGTGAATGGATTTGGGCTGATATGCTCCATTGGAGGGACAGATCAATTTACTTTAAAGGGAGAAAAATTGCCAATGTAGCAAAATCTGTCCTTTTCCCCCTGGTACTTTCCCTGTGCCTTCCTGCTACGTGAACTAGGAGAGTGCAAAGGGCTGAACTGCTGATTTTTTTTGGTGGAAAATACATTGAAGCCGAAACGCTAAGGGAAAAAAAAAAAATCCCAACCAAAAATCTCTTGGATTTTCCACTTCCTTGTGAAGCTGGCAAGGGGAAGCCCAGGATGACGTACTATTTTTTATATTAGAAAAAAGGTGTGGTCTGTCACTGGAAAGACAGATGAAAGTCTGTAAATAAAATCAGGTAAAGAATTGCTGCAGACTGTGTTGGCAGGGCAGTATTGGTAATTAAAGGAAGATCAACACAGTTTGGACTAACGCTAAAGATCCATACTACAGCCCACGGCAGGTATCTGATTTATTAGGATCCATTCGGGAACAGTGTTGGACTACACAGAGAATCTAAATATCTCCCTCAAGCTGCTGTCTTTAGGTCCCAATAGTAAATTAAAGGCTTACAGGATGAAAGGCCAAAAGTCACACAAAAGCTCCAGGCAGTACCGGGGATGTCGGGAAGAGCTGCTCCAATCTCTGCTGCTGGTTGCTTGTTGCAGGCCCTTCTGCTCCATCCCTGATCTGTACAGGGGTCTGCCAGGGCCCCTTTCCCCTTCTCCCTGCATCCCAGCTAGAAATGCTGCAAAAATGCTGGAGCACCTCTCCTATGAGGACAGGCTGAGAGAGTTGGGGCTGTTCAGCCTGGAGAAGAGAAGGCTCCAGGGAGATCTTATTGTGGCCTTCCAGTACCTAAAAGGGGGCCTACAGAAGAGCTGGGGAAGGACTTTTTACCAGGGCATATAGTGATAGGATGAGGGGGAATGGATATAAACTGGAAGAGGGAAGGTTTAGATTAAATATTAGGAATAAATTTTTCACTTTAAGGGTGATGAGGCATTGAGCCAGGCTGCCCAGAGAAGTTGTGGATGTCCCATCCCTAAAGGTGTTCAAGGCCAGGTTGGATGGGGCTTTGAGCAACCTGGTCTAGTGGGAGGTGTCCCTGCCCATGTCAGGGAGGTTGGAACTCGATGATCTTCAAGGTCCTTTCTAACCTAAACCATTCTATGATTCTATGAAACACAGCCCTGGAACGAGACTAAAACAGCTACCAACAGTGCGTGCAACTATGCAGCATATCAGCCATATCTGAAACACCTCCAACTCTTTGTTACTGGACTTCCTTGTTTACAATGACAGTGGCTTTGGGTTTAACAGACTTGTCTTGGTAGCTGACCCTTAGCATCATGAGCCCCCCAGTTGGCAGCTCCAGTGCAGTGGCAGGGGCCTCTGCCATCCCACACCTCCACTGTCCCACCAGCTGTCCCATCAGTCACATTCATTGCTGTGTCCATTTTCCCCATTTGACATCACTTTGAGCCGTGCAGCTCAGGAACCACTTCCAGTATAGCAGTGGCAATGCAGGGCTTGGCACAACTAGTCTGAGTAGCAGTGGGGCTGACATTTTCTGCGCTGTGCTCACAGCCAGGCAGGAAACACCTCTAGATGTGTCTCAGCTACGTCCAGACTAGGTTCGGTCACAAGTCGCTTAGTCAGCAGTGGACCCTGGGAGCCACCTGCCTACGACGGTTACTTTTGCATCATGCACTCAGCATGAATGTGGCTTCAAGTCCCTCTGGCTTATGCCTAACTCCACATTTATGCCTTTCTCCAAGGTCAGCCCAGCTTGTTTCAACCTTGTCCGCAGTGCATTTCTTGGCTGAAGTTCTTGAGCTCAGTTTGCTTCAAATCTCTCAAAACCTCCTTTGATAATGTGTTTCTTCTTTTCTGGAGACTCTCTTCATTCTCTGGTGCCACCCATTGTTAGACCCTGCAACACTAGGCTGAGAGACATACACATAAGGAGATGTGATAACAATTAGTGCATGTAGTCTGTACGTCTCCTTATGAATGTGAACATGTTAATCCTCACAGCTTCTCAGAAATCTGGGGAGATGGATATCTTCATCCTGATAGCAAGATGTAAGGTGGCAGTGCTCAGACCCTGTATATCCATGTACATGAGCACTTCACTTTGGGCTTCTTTTGAGAACTAGTTAATACAACCAGGGGAGTTGGAGGTGTGGTCCACTTCCTCGTGTTTGTCTAAATAGAGAAGAAAAATCACACCCCGGGAGCATTTAGTTCTCTCTGTTAACTCTAAAGCAGGTGTTGAAGGCACAGAAAGTTTTATGAGGTGGATGACTTTACAAATCTTCCACTCCCGCTGAAATGAAAAATGGAAATCAGACCTTACCAGGGCTTTCAGGTCACTAATAGGGGCAAGAAACTTTCAGGTAGGATAAACATGTTTATGCAGATCTTTGAAAATCTTCTGCTCTTTACAGCTTTGCTCCTTCTGATAAAATCAACAGCGCTTTCATTTGAGATGGCTGCCGTGTCCCAATTCACAGACTCCCAAAGGAAGCAAAGCCATGCGTCGCAACCGTTTCGTTTACAGAACTGAGATTGTTCAGCATGCAGTAGAAAAAGTGGGAGAGCTTGGGAGCTCCACTTGTGGAGAACTAGGGCAATCCAGTTCACAGGGCACGTGAGGAAGGG